GCAAAGATTTCACACAATGAACATATCAGAGTGTCCAAACATTACAGTTATGAAAAAATTATATAATCATTACAACTATGTTAACATTTAAATATTATAATCACGAAGTAGCACTTAAAAATTTGTATTAATTAATCTTAAAAGGATATCTTATTATTACTTCGATAGCAGGGGGACAGTTAATTCACAAGGATGGAACTTAAAGTGACTCCTAACAAAATGCTTTATAAAATTTCAAATTATACACTATCACACACAAATACAAACAAGTCAATCATATAACCCCTTCGCTCCTTGTTTAAATATAAAAAATTAATCGTATAATGAAATTATAACACAAGAAACTAAAACGAAAGGATTTTAACGAAGACAGAATGTGTCATATGTTGAGGATTTTTGAAGTATACTAAAATAGATGTTGTATATTAAGTAAACAATAAACATTTATATTTTTTTCTTAACAGTATGCTACCTTTTGTTTGAACAAAGACAAACCTTAAAGATTTTTAAAAACTACAATATTCCCTCACGATAAATAAAAAGACAAAAATGATTTGTTTTTCAAATAATAATTTTAACAAACTTGTTCTGCATTATCAGTTAGTGTAAGATTTATTTTTTACCAAAACTTATTTGCAAGAGAAATAATATCAAATTATAAACAGCAAAAGTACTAGTAAAAAGACAAGAAAATTGCAAAAAAATTTAATTTACTGATGAAGGGCATTTGTTCACAAATCTTCAAGAAATTTGATGCCGGGTATTTTATATATTTATCTTGTAATATTTTATTATTACCCTAGCCAATAATGGCAATAATGGAATTATTTGAACACAGCACCCGGAATATAATGGCTTTAATGCATTTTCCAGTACTATTGAATGGCGTTACAGAACATTTAAATGTTAGATGTTCGTATTACTCTACTGTAATAGTCACTAGAGGATCATAGGATCCAACATCCTTGATACAACAGTCACAATTGTACGGCTCCGCATTGCTGCAAATCTCTTCAGTAATGACTTTTCTTCTTGGATTAAATATTTTTATAATTTTTGATAAACTAACTGCTTGCATTACAATTAAGCCGCGGATCATCATAAGCTAAAACAAAAACACCTGTCATTCATCACTGCATACATTTCTTCGAATAATAAGTACAATCCTTTTGACCCATTGTTTTTCTATCCCAGATGGTATAAACTCCTACTATAGTCTCTGTGAAGCGAGCTGGTCTAGTGGTTAAAGCGCGGGACTTCGGTGCCTGAGGTCCTGGGTTCAAATCCCGCCAAATCACCATTGGATTTTATCTAAGTGATATTGCCACAACCCCTGGGTCTAGCCTGAAGTATTGTGAAAAACAATCCCGGGCTCGCGCTTAAATATATATATATATATATATATATATATATATATATATATATATATATATATATATATATATATATATATACATATATACATATAGACTCTGTGCTTTAATGGAAAGAATAGTGACGTAATAACCTTGCCTTTGCAGCAGGACTCGGGATGACAAATTTTAAATTAACTTTAACTTTGAGGTGTCTGCCGCAGGAGAACACAGTCTTCTGTACACAAACTTTAGATAGGACAAAACTTATTACCAAGTTAATAAGGAAACTTACAAATTTTTAGGTTCGTGCTTAGTTAAACAGTTTTCTAAACACTAAACCAACAAATTCATTACGTTCCTTTAGTTGAATACTCCATATATTAGGCTCGTACATTTTGTAAATGCTCTCCAGAAATGATATAACACATTTTATTTGAGTGGAAATAATATTAAATTCTACAATGTACAAACGTTTAATCTGTACACTTTTGTGCTGTTACCTAAAATGATCCCTTGGATTTTTTTATATTTTAAACAAGTAAATATCATAATCATAGCATCCTCATATTTTCGTTAATAATGTAAGAATTTGTATTTACGTTTTGACATTTGGTACCAGTTTACTTTCTATTTATAGGCTAATATGATTACTTTCAGCAAATGTAGTGGGTTTATTTATATGCATTAAAGGTATTTCTTAATTTTAAACATCATCTTACGCGTTAAATCCCAACCGTACAGCATAGCTAATAAATTAAAATTTGAAATATTGTTAAAGTCATAACAGGCTCATTCGATTGAATGAATATCGTGTATTAATGTTCAAGTTAGAATTTAACTTACGCACCTTACGATGTAGTGTTGTTACTTAACCAAAATAAGTAAGAATAAGTAAACAATCGAGAGCCTAGATTTAAATATACAGGGTGATTAAAAAGTCAAGACCCCCCCCCCCTTCTAATATTTCTCCAAGTAAATATACAGAGATATCCTTTTGGTGGTCGTGCAATCTTAGCAGGAAGTGTTATTAAACCCCCTTCAAGTGTCCCCTTTTTTTGAAGTGTTTACAACAACTTAAAGAATGGTGAAAACTAGAGGTCGCTATCTCTTCTCTATCCAAAATGGTAGCCCGTCAAATGTTGTAAAAAGTCAATGGTAATTTTGGTTCGCAATGGTAATATTGGCTACCATATTAGATAGAGAAGGGATAGCGAACTCTGGTTTTCACTATTCTTTAAGTTTATGTGGACACTTCAAAATGAGGTGTCACTTGATGGGGGCTCACATTGAAAACATTTTAGTTTCCCCCCCCAAATCCCCCCTTTTGGGGGGACACTCAAAAATGTTAAATGTAAACCCCCATTTAGTGACACTTCGTTTTGAAGTGTTTGCAAAAACTTAAAGAATGATGAAAACCACAGTTAGCTATCTCTTCTCTATCCAAAATGGTAGCCAATATTACCATTACGAACCAATTTTTCTATTAATTTTCCACAAAGTTTGACGGGCTACCATTTTGGATAAAGAAGAGATAGCGACCTCTAGTTTTCACCATTCTTTAAGTTTTTGTAAACACATCAAAATGAGGTGTCACTTGAAGGGGGTTTACTTTTAAAATATTTGAGTTGCCCCCCAAATCCCCCATTTTGGGGGGACATTCAAAAATTTCAAAATCACAAAATGAAACTTTCTGCTAAGATTTTACGACCACCAAAAGGATATCTTTGTACATTTACTTGGAAAAATATTAGAGGGGGGGTCTTGACTTTTTATTCAGCCTGTACAAGGCCATCTTAAAGTATTAACTATCAAACTATTTTCTGTCCATAGTCAAAATGAAAAAAAGGCGTGGAAATAAAAAAAAAGGTTTAAGGTTTGAAAAATGTTCCGCCACTTTTTTGGCTGTGTAAATGTGATATTGATATGATATGTGTAATGTTTTATACAATTGATGATTAAAAGAAATAAATAAAAGAAAATTAAAACGTTTTAACTCATACAATTGTCAAATGAAGACATCTCAAATGTTTGTTCAGTGACAACACCTCATTACACTGATTGTTGTTACTCTCCGTGTGTTCTTTGAACTTTCTCAAACAGTTTGACGAGGAAAATCCAACGTTTACCTTGTTAATTTTATTAAATATTTTTTGCAGTTCTTCTAATCGGCATTCAAAATAAACTATACATTATACAAAAACGTAAAAAGGCTAAATATTATGATTTTATTTTACCTTTATGAAACAAGCTCAAGTCTAAGTATAATGGTTAAAGTAATAACCGTTAATAACAATTTTCTTGCTCCATTATAGTGTAAAAAACTTTGAAGATCGTTAAAAAGTAACTAGTGTTTAGCAAAAACTACAATAATAATTATATTACATTTGTCATACTGATCAGTAAATCTTTAATTAGTAAATATATTATATTTAAGATAAGAACATAGTAGTTGTAATAGTGTTTTGTATCAAAATTGGTATTAATTAATTTCCAATACCAAAATTCTTTGGCTAAATATACAAGTATAGAAATGTCTACAATATCCCAATTACAAGCTTTCATTGTTTTCCATAGAGTGTGATTTAGCATCTTTTCAAAACTGTAGACCCAGAACGTTTTTTATTCTTTCCAATCATAGCCCAATGTTTACCCAGCGCTCTTTAAAAATTACCTCTTGGTATTACAGAGCATTTCTTCGTTGTTAGCTAACATAACTATCATTTATAAAAAATGATTTAACAACTTAAAATAATGTGTTGATTACTTTCAAACTAATGGATCTCGACTGTAAATTAACTTGACTGGTAAAGTTAGAAGGGGTTTCCTTTGTTGGTATATCTATAAATCTTTTATTAAATGCTGCAAAAATACATGTAGGATAAAGTCTATGTTAGTATTCTGAAATTCTCAGCAGAATACTTCAGGTTATCAAAATGTGACCCGCATACTAAAAACTTGTATACCTTATTACATTCTAATTGAATACATTGTGAAAATTAAGAAATGCTGTCTAAACTGCAAGTTTAAGAATTAGTTTCTCTTGTTACGTTTGGAATATACAAATCATATCAGTAAAGTTAGATTTTTATTTATTTTTAAGGGAACTGCATGATAAAAATATGATCTTAAAATATTTCTATATGAAGATAAAGGAAAACTTTTGGCAGTATGACAGTTTCCTTAGTAAAACCTAACTAAGCACTACAACAGGGAACAAGGCAAGCCAAAGCTTTGCCGGTGACAGTTTGTCAATGAAGTGATTAAACTTGACATTAAGGTTTATTTTTAGAAATAAAATATTTGTCAAAAATAACTATGATTATATTTGTAACAGTTATCAAAATATTTTAATCGGCATAACTACACACCTGGACGTATGTTTTATTGTTTAATGTGTAAGGGTAAATCTTAAAAGAAAAAACTTATAAGGATAAAATGCGTGTAGTAGATGAAATACTCAGTTGAATCTATGAGATCTGTTAAAATATTATAGACAGACAAGATAAAAGACTATTAGGACTTCACAAAAGATGTGTATTTTTTTGACTGTTTACAAAAATCATAATCATCAATAAACATATGTTAGTTAAACTGTATATGAAATAAGGCAGGCATAGATTAGACATAGATTATTTATTACATTCTCTACCCCCCAAGAACTGCGACCTTGGTAAGAGGGCGCCGGAATGTACCTTTGGTTGTTTTGATGTCCACAACTCGTATAACGCCATCTTTACCGGGGTAAATGGCTGATATTCTTCCAAGAGGCCATGAATTCCTTTGATTGTCTTCTTCCACTATTATAGCCAAGTCCCCTATTTGAGGCGGTTCCATTCGTTTGTGCCACTTACAACGTCTTGACAAACAGGGCAGGTATTCTTGGACCCATCGCTTCCAAAAACTATCCAAAAGTGTTCTTACGCGGGCTAGTTGTTTCTTACATAGTTTATCTTCATCAATATTTATTTTGTAGGCTTCGCGTAGAAAGTGGTTTGGTGTGATCGGCTCAGGGTCCAACGGGTCAATTGATAAGTGTGTGAGTGGACGTGAGTTAATAATAAACTCCACGCGAGTCAAAAACGTCTGCAGTTCTTCATCTTTCGGGTACTGGGATCGCATGACACTTTTCAATGCTGTTTTTACTGACCTTATCAGTCTCTCCCAACATCCCCCCATGTGTGGCGCACGGGGAGGAATGAAATTCCATTTAATCCCACTCTTTACGACTGTCCGTTGAATCTGGGCGTTGTTTAAAGACTTAACAGCATTTCGAAGTTCATTGTCTGTTCCTACAAAATTCGTACCATTGTCAGAAAACATCTCAGAAGGGCAAGGTTTCCGACTTATGAACCTTTGAATTGCCATAACGCAACTCTCCGTACTTAACGAATGAGCCACTTCGAGATGAATTGCTCGTGTAGAAAGGCATGTAAATATTACACCGTATCGCTTTTCATGTCTTCGGCCAACAGTTACTTCAATTGGGCCAAAATAGTCAACACCAGTGTAAAAGAAAGGATACTGTGCCTTGAGTACTCGTGAAATTGGCAGGGGTGCCATTTGAGGTGGACTTGGTTTGGCGTTGTCAATCCTACAACGCATACAGCTTCTTTGCACTTTCTTCACTGTTGTGCGAAGATTAAGTATCCAAAACCGTTCTCTTGTCATGTTCATTACGGTTTCTATTCCTTGGTGGAAGCATTTTTCATGGAAGTTCTTCACAATAAGTCTTGCTACTTGACATTTTCCATCTAAAATAATTGGATATCTTCGTTCAGTACTGATTTCAGGAGAATTTCGTATTCTTGTAGACATCCTGATGAGGTCTTTCTCGTCAACGAAAGGATCCAATGTGAATATTTTACTTGACTTCGGTAGTGACTTGCTATTTCTTAATAAGGTCTTTTCTTCTTTAAAAGTTTTGTCTTGGGAATTCAACACTAAGATGTGTTCAGCCTTAAGAATTTCTTCTGGTTGAAGTTCCAGTATCAATCTGGGGTTAGAGTTCTTCTTCAGTCTGTCTTTGTCATTTCTTTTGATCCTGGATTGCAATATACCAATGTATCTCAGAACCCACGCAGTTACTCGTGTTACCTTATTCCAGGAAGAAAATCTCTCAATATTGATAACGTCTTCTTTGTCTTCGTTGAGTAACCCAACGAACTTTTGTTTCACCTCTTCGCTGTTTTTTGTTTGCAAGGTTGTCGGTTGCTGAGGCCAATGACTTGAGTCGTATTTTAGAAACTCGGGGCCATAAGTCCAAAATTCATGATTACTTGTAGTGAATTTCTGGTTGCTTCTCGTAGCGACATCAGCAGGGTTATTTTTTGATGGTACCCACTTCCATTCATCAGCTTGTGAAACTTCAAGTATTTCCACAAGTCGGTTAGAAACAAATTGTTTAAAGCTTCTCGGATCAGATTTTATCCAATGTAACACCGTAACAGAATCTGACCAAAATATTTTTCGGACGAAGTTGATGTCTAGGTCGTGTATAATTGTTTTAACAAGCCTACATCCAAGGACAGCAGCTTGTAGTTCCAGTCTTGGTATGGTAGTTGGTTTTAGAGGAGCCACCTTTGCTCTCGACATAACCAACATAGTGTTGTATCCAGTATTCTCGTTAGTATTCTTATGTCTTAGATATCCAACAGCGGAGTACGCTTCTTCACTTGCATCGACAAAGACATGAAGCTCAACCTCATTTATCATAAGGGTTTTGAAATAGCATCTCGGAATGGTAAAATATTGTAGTTGTTTAACTTCTTCCAACCATTCTTGCCATTTCTTAGTAAGTACTGTTGTTAGTACTTCATCCCATGTTGTTTTTGTTCTCCAAATCTCTTGCACTAATATTCGACCTTTGATTGTAGTAGGGGTGACTAGTCCCAAAGGATCAAAGATAGACATCGCAGCCTTCAAAACCTCACGTTTAGTTGGATAACTTGATTCCATTTTTTGCAATTTTTCTGCATTGCGATGAAATACGAAATTGTCGCTTTCTGAATCCCACCACATTCCGAGAACTCGTTCAGTGGGAAGATTGCTATCATGCTTTAATTGCTTAGTTGAATTTGATTTCAGTTCTTCAGGAATTCCAGATAAAACATCTTTGGAGTTTGATAACCAATTGCACATTTGAAATCCACCTGATTTGTGAATTTCCATTATTTCTTTCACTCGAGTCTTTGCTTCTTCCTCAGAATTGACAGAGTCTAATAAATCATCCATGTATTCCTTAGTGAGAATTGATTTAGAAGCTTCAGGGTAGATGGATGAGAAACGTTTGGCATTTTCGTTCACTACATATAAAGCAGTGCTTGGAGAACAGGTCGACCCAAATGTCATCACCTCCATTACATACGTATCTGGAGGATCATTCGTGTTTTGCCTCCACAAAAATCTCTGTGAATCTACATCTTCTTTCCTTATGCGTACCTGATGGAACATTTCCTTAATATCACCAGCGACAGCAAATTTTCCCAGACGAAATTTTACGAGAACAGCTGGTAATGGATTCAAAAGGTCAGGTCCACTAAGAAGAGCGTCATTAAATGATACACCGTTCGACTTTGCAGCTGCATCAAAGACCAATCTTAATTTGTTGGGCTTATTGGGGTTCACAACTCCGAAATGAGGTAGATAATAAGTATGATCATTTAAAATACTTGCCTCATCTTCACTTAGTTTTCGAATATACCCTTTTTCCTTGTAGTCGGCAATCTTCCTTGTGTATTCGTCTTTAAAGGAAGGATCCTTTGCCATCTTCCCTTCAATGTGTTTTAGTCTTTTAAGAGCTTTATCGTAACTCGAGGGATATTTAAAATCATCTGATTTCCACAACAAGCCAGATTCATAACGTTCTCCGATTTTCCTCGTTGTTTTTTCCAAGATTGACATTGCACGTTCGTCTTCTACCGATTTTATTGATTTGTTTTCTACTGGAGATGCACATTTTTTGTCATTGTAGTTGTCAATTTCAAAGGAACTTTTCACCAAATCATGTAATCTGTCGTGATCAAAGGACAATAAGGTGAAATCGTCAACACGTCCAGCAAATTCTGGACACTTGCCATGCATTGACCACCCTAGGTAGCTCCATGACAGGACGGGAGCATTTGGCGGACCTTCGATAACTTTTCTGGTCAATAACAAGTCACAGTTATCTTGACCTATCAAAATGGTAGGTTTAACATGAGATGTTGGTAAAGGTTGATCGATTGACTTTAAATGAGGCCATCTCTCACGAAGCTTTACTGAGTCAATCGACTGTTGGGGTAAATCTAGAGGTGATTGAGTTCTTACATTACTTAATGTGAAAATTTCATCTTCATAGAACCCTTTTATTTTAAGTTCAACTCGTCTGGACGTTGGGTCAAAATGTTTAGTTGCATTTGACCAACAAGTGGTAAGGGGTTCAATGCTACCACTGATGCCTAATTTATCGGCAGTAGTCGAATCTAGCAGAGATATGGTTGAACCGTCATCTAAAAGTGCATATGTGTCGATCTGACAGCTTGGACCATATAACGTTACTGGACATGTTCTTAGTAAAACACGGTTATTTACCGAGTGATTGCTTATAATTTCTTCTTTCGATTGACCTTCCTGCCTGAAAGTGTTCTGTGCTCTGTCCCGGCTGATTTCTTGGGAATTTTTAGAGGCACTGTCAGTATGCAGAAGGCGATGGTGGGATAATTTGCACCCATTGATTCCACAAGGTTTCTTCAACTTACAAAATTTGATGTGGTGACGACGGAAGCAAAAGAAACACAGTTTTTTCTCAATTATCATCTTCCACCGCTGCGCGACTTCTGCTTTTCTGAAAAGCTTACATTTATCGGTTTCGTGACTCTCCGAACAAAACATGCAAACGTTTTCATTGGGCGAATTAGTAAAAACTGGTTTAGGGTCACTTCTCTTCCGCGTTGTCTCCTCGGGTGGACGAAAATAAATACTCATAATGGAACACTGATTTTCAAGCCAGTTACAGAATACTTTCAGGTCAGTAGGTTTTTCTAAATGCATGCTATTTACATGTTCAGCCCACCTGTACTTCAGGGTATAGGGGAGCTTACTTAAAAGTTCATTCAACAAGAGAGGATTTATTAGGTACATTTCCAAATCCAACGACTCTGCGGTAGAGGTCAGGTTTAAAAGAGTTGTTGAAAACTCAATAAGGCTGACAGCGTCATCCTCCTTGACTGGTTGGAGCATGCGCGCCTTCTTCAACATTGACTCGACTATAAACTCTGGACGTCCAAAACGCATTTGTAAAGTTTTCATTACTGTACTCAAATTTTTACCTGATATAAATAGAGGTTTTACCATTTTAAAGGCATCTCCCTCCAGACAATTTCTTATTCTGTCAAGGTTTTCATCGTCATTAAAAAGGTGTTTAGTCTTATTGTAACAGGAATAGAACATGGGCCACTCGTCTGGTTTCCCGCTGAAGGATGGAAGACGCTGTCGGCATGAGACAGGTTGGTTGGGGTTGGATGAATTTATAGCTTTTGAAAAGGAGTCTGCTAGTTTATCAATAGCCGTGGACACGATGGCTGACGATGTCAAAGGAACTGACGGTTCCTCATTCAGCCACCTATTGACTTTGACATTAGAGTCCTCCTCAACAGTAGCAATATTGAAGCTTACCTTGTCAGGGTCTTCATTATCTTCCAATTCCAAATGACGACTGCCCAAGACTGAGGCGGACTGACTACTTCCCAAGACTGAAGCAGACTCAAGTTCGGTCCTTACTCTCAGCAGACGCTTCTGTCGTTCTAGTTCTCTTGCTTCAGCTTGACGTTGTCGTTCCATTTCCCTCTCCTCTCTTTGCCTTTGTTGTTCCATCTCTTGTCTCTGTCGCTCCATCTCCTTTTCTTCAAATTCTTTCAGCCGTTGCAACTCCCTTTCTTCGTGTATTTTCTCAAGCCTGTTTATTTCTTCTATTTCTTCTAGTTGCAGTTGAACTAACCGGCGCTTGCTGGAAGTTGAAGATTTGGTTTTTGACTTAGAAGGTGGTTTTAGAGATTGACTATCTCCTTCTTTGGGTTCATCATTCTTGTCATTTGCATTTTCTGGGGAATATCTATTTGGAGGGTGTTTCTCTCTCCCTGACTTTCGGATTGACATATTTTTTGACATGATTTATAAGTCGAGTTTCGGCACCAATGTTAAAATATTATAGACAGACAAGATAAAAGACTATTAGGACTTCACAAAAGATGTGTATTTTTTGACTGTTTACAAAAATCATAATCATCAATAAACATATGTTAGTTAAACTGTATATGAAATAAGGCAGGCATAGATTAGACATAGATTATTTATTACAAGATCGTTTTGTAACAGCCTATTGGTTTTGTACGGTCTTTAGCGGAAAGCCGTACGGTGGTTTGAACATAACATTTTAATTCTTGTGCTACCGTTACCTTGTCGGATGTCTCGAAGGTGAATGATATCCGTCTCGTCCAAGGTAGTGGGGTAGTCCAGGGGATGGAAGCGGTGTAGGCAGCAGCGGTGTAGACCAATGGTGCGGGGGCAACAACAATGGAAATGACTAGCACTGGTGAAGTTAAAGTAACTGGTGTATTAAGCAATTTAAGTTTAACATCAAATGAAGTTAAATTGTAATAATAATGAGATTGAAAGTCCGAATAATATAATTGGTGGAATAGGTAGGGATGTCTGCCCGTGACGCCGTGGGCAATACTAGTAAGGAGCGTCTCCAGTAGTCGAAGTGGGGACGATGGTTAAGGTTAGAGTACTTTCTAGGGACTTTCTATTATATCTATTTTTTTATTTTTAAAAAGAGGTTGGCGGCCTCTTTTAACCTTTTATTTGCTCGACCACATAGACTAACCACCCGTGCGTGGATCGTATACAGCAAAGCAAGGATTGAGCCGGTACAGTACAAAGGAGAACTGTACTGATAAATTTTAGTGGCAGTGACCAGGATCCGAACCCACGACATCGCTGCCTTGGGCCCGAAGTCCGCGACGCTACCGACTGGGCCACCGACTCACACAACTTACAACGGAACTTTAAATAAGTACCGAACAGTGTATATACGAAACGTCAGTGGTCCCCATAGATAACCATTCCAAAATGCGATAGCCAATCCAACTAACCCCTACATGCACATGAATCTGTAATGTTGCTATTAAAGAATTATGAAAATCCAAAAGTACGGAGAATGAAGCTACAACCCTAATTTTTAATTTTATTAGTATTACAAGCTATTTAAGAGATGCAATAGCGTAACAGAAGAATATTTTGAAGTATAATATGGACCTTCACGACTTCATACTCTAGTTCCACTTCAATACAATCGTGTCTGACAATTTCAAAAATTAATATTTTATACAGTATAATAGCCTATAACAATTGAGGTTCAAATTACAAATCATAAGCTAGTTAAGGTTTTGGACACCTCTTAAGCACAGTGATGTGTTCAAAATGAAAAGTGTTGTGTTTAAGTTATTGATTAGTTTTGTTCTACCAAAAGCTATACACAATTGACAATGTTATGTTATTTAGAGAATTATGCCGGAAATATCTTGAAGGATCATTAGAACGTAAAAGCTTTCTAGGGAGGAGAACAGATTTAGATCTCAAAACGTTGCGCCTTCAAAATGTTGTTGGCTACTTGAATTAACCTAATAAATATGGCCTAGATAATTCCTAAAAGAACATATTTCTAAAAAAGCGCATTAAATAAAAATTCAACGTTATACTGCTGAAGATACTTGAAATTGGAAGTTTCTTCAAAAGTGGTAATTTTCAAGACATTTAGCAAAATTAAGAAGAATTTTTGTTGAGACAACTGGGGTGATCATTTGGGCTAAGAAAATGGATCTAACGCCTTGTGTATTATTTCTCAATTCAGAGACGATGTTGAATCAGAATGCTTTTCATCAGTAACAACAGACAAACCATTGGGTTTTTTTTCAAAAGAAATGTCAGTTAAAGAATAAGAAAACAAAATATAATACCAAGCAAGAAAATGTTTACTGAGCAGTTTAGCAGCAGTAAATAGAGGTGACAATTGCTCGGGAGGACTATTGTATTAAGGCTGTAAAATCCTACGATGCTCCAGCGACTGGTGCAGGACAATAATACGGACTTAAACAGTTCTCAATAACAACATTCAATTGTGAATTGTATTAACAATCGTTTCCAAGCTGTAATGTTTTTAAAAACATCATATTTGTGGTTCACGAGCATGATATCCTATGATAAAAAAGTACCCGGTAGTAATTGACGATTTGTCCTTATATATATTTACTAGCAGTTACCCGGCGCGCGTTGCTGCGCTTAACAACTATTATTGTAAATGGTAATTTGTTCTTTACGATGAATAATAAAAGTGTGTACCAAAAATAAAAATAGAATATTTTACTTAATTGCCAGTGAATAGGGCCTAAACCATTTTGTTTTTTGTTTTTTTTTATAAGTTTTTAGACGTACCTACCACCACGTGAGCACGCAACATACAGCTGTCCGTGTGAAAAGCATGCATTTTCTCCACATTGACAACTCATTTACTTGGAGTTTTACAAATCTTGCACATTTTAGTTGTACCGTTTGACCTTTTCGCACTACACTTTGATATATCAAACAAGTATTGTCATGGTAAAAATATTCTCGTTTACTTAATATATTCTATATTATCTGTTATCAACTTGCAAAGCTTCCCATTGGTATCTTGATTAATATCTTCGTGTGTTAGCTGGAGTGAAATCCAGATAGAGTTTCGTTAGGAATATTTTGTAATTATTCTTGTTACTATCAACTTAAACCCTTTTGTAATCTAAGTTTTTTAACTGGTGCTAAAAAGCATAAAAAATGGCATTAGCTTAAAATACAAACATTAAGTAAGTTTTAGACCGTAATAATACTTTTTTGTAAAAGTATTATGATAAATAAAAACAATAATTAATTTCTTCTTAAAATACCATCACAGCCTACAAATGTTAATAACGTTTCCAAACGACTAGGCTACTATTCCTCTCTCAAGTTCTGGACAGTTAAATTCTAATGTAAACCTGTTGACCATTCTACTCTCTACTGACCATTCAGAGTGACCACGTCATTTAACATGGTCCTTTACAAGGAGGTATTCAGAACATTGAGCAAACCATTTGTATAGGCTCAACCTAAACATAGCCTTTTGTGTTTAGGGGTATAACGGATTTGAATGAATAGAAGAGTAATATGCAAGGCTAAAAATTAAGTAAATAATAAATATAAATTATTTAGAGCATACGTAAATGTATTAGTTATAATTGTAGATTGAAAAAAGTATGGGTAGATATACTTTTTATGACTAATCAAATGTATTTTTCTCTACATAATGTGGCTCATATTTTTCAGCACTATGTCACAACAACAAGTTTGAGACCTAAGAATAAAATTACTTTATGAAATGAATGGCAATGTAAATTTTAGCTGTTAAAAGAACTAAAAATATCAACACAGACCTAGGACATTTTATAGACTGTAAATGGTTTTTATATAATACCCAATATGTGTTGACATAAAAAGGCAATGATTAACAACAAAAAATGATTAGGTATCTCCTTGAACTCATCCAACGAAAAAATATTCAATTAATATTGAGTTTAAGTGTATAATTATGATGGGTCTTAAAGTTTAAGTATTCAACAGTGACTTACGTTGCCTATAATTTGCAGTAACGATACACTTAAACCCATAAATGATTACTAAATGATTTTCATAGTGATGAGGAGTTATTTTACACAAATTTAAAATTAGGCTTACACAGTATATTTTGTTTGGAAATATCCCACCCAATACTATTATGGACTTAACTTGTGAAATACTCTTAAAGGGCATTTATTGGAGTTTGTTGATAAACAAACCAATGTAGGAAATAAACTAAGAATTAAGAAGTTAGAAACAATGAATACTTTATTGTAGACCTTATTGTAATGCAAAGGTCTAAAGACAATCATAAGATTTTACAACCTTCATACAATAGTCCTTCTGAGGAATATTCTCCTGCCTGCATTACTGCATAACTGCTCACTAAAAATAGTCTCTTCAAGAGTTAAACTTTGTTATCCTTTCTTGGAAACTGGTTGGCTTTTAGGAGACGTTTCATGTTAGCGGTTCAATCGGCCTGTTCAACACTGAAAACATGTGTTTGAGTATGCATAAGTGCATTTGTGGATCGCCTCAATAATGCTTGACTTATTTTATCTAATTATTTGTACAAGAATTTTCAATACACGATAAGAATCCAAAGTGGTTACTTCTAGTAACTGAATATTCTTGCAGCAAATAGCGTAAAAATAAATACAGAATTAAAGAGGAATAAAGTTGTGCTGTTTATTTAATTTTTTTTTTTTTTTTACTTCAAATAAGAAAAAAAATTATACATTAATTTAGATTATAAGGCTAGCTAAAAATATTTGTACCAAAAAGTGTTTTTTACTTGCCTACAGACGAGTTTTATTTTGCAGGGCTAAATCATCTGAACTAAACCTTAAATCATTAAAATGCATTAAATGCTTAACATAGGTCAACTCGAGCTAAATCCAAAACTAGTAATGTTAAACTACAACAAAACGTCCTTAAATAATTTACCTAAATTCAAACTAACGTAAATGTAACCTTTTCATAAGTAAGCCTAATATTAAATTACGCTATTATATCATATGAGATACAGCATTTCATTTTGTAATTAATTGCACAAAATGACTTTACACTATTGATGTTCCTTACTGCATCATCATTGCTTGTCAAAGTAAACTCCATTAACTTTTCTTTGCCGAGTTACTGAAACACATTAATCAATCCATCTTCGATCCAGAATTTTGAAGCTAAGAATAAATATCTTCATTACTTCATCTTTCCTCTTAGGGTTACATTGTAATCATAGTTTGGTCAGTAAAAGTTCAATGGGTGTTATTTTATACACTGTAACTTATTACTTAACATTTTTATAAACACAGAATCACTTAAATTGAAGCTCAAAGATTAGAAGTTCGTCATTTAAAATTAATTAAATATTCCACAGGAAGAATGAGAAAAGCTATTGTGGATTAAATAAACTCTAAACTCGTATGTTCATCAGATTCAGACATCCTGAGGCATGTGTTTGTTCA